TTAATTCGATTTTCAAGATTCTAGTAGTTGAAATGTTCCTATGTTGATTTTATGTTTGAATTTTAATGATTTGCATTAGTTAGCCTCTAATTCAATTATATGTGAATTTGTAACAAATCGGAAGGTAAGTTTTAGATTTAGACCATGTCATAAAATTCATTTGGATAGAAGTGCAGAGACACATTTTGTGATTGTTGTTGTTCAATGGGTTCTTAGAAATTAAAGTGAATTCAATTAAAGCTTATTCAGATTCACGGAAGTACAATGGTCAATAAATCAACTTAGTTGATTATGATTAATTTGAACTCGAAAGATGTAAATTGATTAATAAAAAGAATTCGATCGAATACCACAATAAGTAAAGAATCTTGATTTACAAATTAAAATTGATCAATGTATGAAATCATAAGTCATCCACATCCACATTCATACTTAAAAACTCATATTTGATTAATTGTGGGTTTTAGATAACATTTGTACAATTATATAAGTCATTAATCTCAAACTATACGTTATTTTTTGTCAATTAGGAGTTAGAAATTAAAAAAAAAAAAAAAGGAATTAAAAAATAGTCTCCATGGGAACAATCATCTGAACTCATAAATTCATTATATTACTTGTTATGATATCATACTATTGTGATAGAAAATACACAATAGTACGTATATAAATCATTCATTCAATTAACTAGATTAACATCCCACGTCAAAAAATAACATAGATTCCCATGGCAAGAGGAACATTACAATATTTTTTTTCAATAAAACTTAAGAAAATCGAGTTATGATCTCATCTAAGAACTCGTTAAAAAAGGAAAAATTGCAGCAGCGATCCTTAACCTTTCCATTTTTGCAGATTTTACCTTAATCTTCATTTTGTGCCAAATGAGCTCCCCTAAGTTGACTTGAAAAATTAAAAAATTAGGTATATGGACCCTTTTATGGAGTAGTAGTAACAATAATAATAAAAATTAATAATATTCCGAATCACCAAAAAACCCTAAGTTAAAAGCACGGGACAACAAAAACTAAACAAAGAACCCTAATTACAAAATAACAGTAAAATCCCCCAACACAAATTCAAAACTTAGAATTAAAAAAGATAATGAGCTTGATGGAGTCTTTAGCATCAAACCCAGCTTTTCTATTGCGAACATGAAGAAACCCAAAACAAGGCGGAAAAAAAAATCGCTATGCTAAGTATCAATACCAGAAAGCATTTGAGATTAAACTCTTGGAAAATTCTAGAA